GGGGCGGGGCGCGGTGCCGTACTCCACTTCGCTGGGCCTAGCTAGACCGGGGCCGGCCGGGACGTTGACCCCGACCCGACTTGGCCAGGGCGACGCGTAAGTTCTACGCGAATCGCCCCAAAGACAATGCTGGCGGACTTGTCTCCACCCCGAGCGAGTGCAGGACGTCATGCAGGTCGCCCTTGAGCGGAGTCTCTCTGGGCCCCCCTTGGAGCTGGAGATGGGTGAGGCGATGGGCGGCCGGGCCGGCTGGCTGGATAGGTTAGGTATGTAGGTGGATCATGATGGTTTTGACGTGACAGCATCTGGATGCCGATGTCTATTGTGTGCCCCACTATCAGGAGAGTGGAGTCCCCCATCTCTTTGGCTTCGAACTTTTTATTTGCCGTCTCCTTTTGTTTTGTTTGTTTTCTACAGGGTGGTCGATGGGTCGATGTGCCCCGTCGGAGCAAATGCGTATGCTAGCCCGCATGCAGTCGTGCAGGCGGGTTGCCCATTCGCACGGGGCGCTGAGGGGCCATCGCTACACACTATAGGCAAACCCGTTCGCATCGCCGTGAACAGGGGCTGCTCTAGCGTATACGCATGTGCTCGAACACGGTACAGCAACTACCTCGTATGTGGGTACTGTCGGTTTGAGAGTGCTTTTTGTTTTGTTATTACTGTTTTTAATTTTATCGACACTTTTGACTGAGGAGACGCACTTTTGGGCGCGAGGTGCTCTTAGCTTTCGAGGAGATTAACCCCCGCCGCCGAGAGATGGACAGGGTCGAGCCATCAGTCAGCCGGCTCCTTACCGCGTCGATACCGTGGCCCACTTGATGTTGGCGGCCAGGACGGCGGGAGTTCAACAACCCGGTGGCGCCACGGCCGCGCGCGTGTTGGGCTCGGCGCCACGCTCCGCCACTGCTCTGCACCGCGACGGGACGGGACGGTCCGGCCGCGACTCTGAGCGTGGGGGTCGCTAATGAACGAGGCCCGTCCAGAGCAGAGCGGGGCGCCCCTGGATACAGTACACGAGTAAAGACGGCAGGAAAATAATAATGAGCGAAATGAACGAGGTTGACACTTTCGTTGTTTTTTCCTTGCATGCTGCGCCGCGGTTGGTGGTGGTAGTACATAATTAAGAGAAACTTGACGCTGTTGTTTGCAAGGGTTTTTTGAAACGAGCGGTACAAAATGCTTCCAAGTATCGCTTTTTCACTCACAGCTGCTGTACGGCCGTGTTGATGACGGCTAATTTAATTTTTTGTCCAGAAAAAGTAAGAGGGGACCGCGTGATGTGACGTAGCTGTACTGTACATCCTTTATAAGGGCGTTAAGGTGGCGTCGCCGTGGTGCAAAAACACGTCAGCAGCGCGCCGTCCTCGTCCCTCCGCGCCGCGGCTCCGCACGGTGGAGGTGGAGAACACTTCGTGCGCGGGCCATTATGTGCGAAAGTGAGAGAGAGCGAGATGGATAGGCAAGAGGGGATGGGGCCCCGAGCCCGCCCGAGCCGCCCGAACCACAATTTGTTCATTTAATTTTATTTTGCCTCGCCCAAGAGGAAAAGGTCAGGGTAAGCTAAAAAAAAGCGCGCATGAAACGAATATATATTTTTTTTAAGTGGAACATTTGACCCCTTATAAAAGCTATTTTGGCGTTTGACGGTTTTGCGAGGAGAGGAAGTGCTCAGCCTTGGCCCTCTCCACCGCTAACCTCACCGGATCCAATTTTATTTGGGTGTTTTTGCATTGTAGAAAAAGAGACGGGGGCTTGTTGAACTTTGTGTGAGAATACCATTTTATTCATTCATTCATTTATTCATTCATTCGTCGCGATAATTCTTTGTTTCCCGGCGGACAAAAGCCGAAGCCTGGCTGGAGTGCATGAGTAGAAAGTAGAGCCCATATTCCATTCATGCGTTAGTGCCCTACCTGCATGGCCCCTGCCCTGCGGCGGCTGCGGCCGCGCCACCTCACTCATCCAAGAGATTTTTATTATTTCCCGGAGAGATGTTCGTCCGTTTTAGTCCGGAAATATAATACTTCTCTTTCCGCCCGTTGCCATGGCGGCGGCGATGCTGGAAGCTATGGGCATCATGGTGGTGTCGGTGGCGGCCTCAGGCCCGCGGGGCGCAGCGCGCGGCAGCCTCACCGCAAAGTGCAGGCGCGGCCGGCGGCCCGCGGCTTGGCCGGTTTGCTTCCATATCAGTCGGGCGCGGCCGTGAAGACCGTGCTGCACCACGTACCGGACCGTACCGGGCAGAAGTACCGGGGCGGGCCAGAGGCGGGCGGACACCCGAACGAAACGACAAATAACCGCTCTGATTGATGCCCTCGCCGGACACAGTCGGCTGCACTGCGTGTCTGTCCTGGTAGTACAATTAGCCTATACCAACCAGCCTGCTGCAGGAGGCGAAGGAGGCCTGGGCAACGACATGCTCCTGCCGACTGGCCCCCAAGTGGAGTGGACCGAGTCCAGCTGTTCTGTTCAGTGCCACAGCTCAGCGCAGCACGGCGCTGCTGGAGCTGGAGGGCGGGCGGGCAACCACCCCGGACGGAGCTGGCAGGCAGGCGGGCGGGCGCGGCCGCGCGGCCGCCAGCCCGCGCTGGCAGCGAGCAGCCCCGCCCCACCCCACCCCGGTGACGGTTACGTTTTGCGCGCCAAGCCGCCGAGCCGAGTCGAGCCGAGCGGCCAGAGCGAGTCCAGCCGGACCAGTCGTTTAGAGGTGGTCACGTGTGTGGAATGGGGTTGCACACACGCGTACTAACGAGTTTTGTTTTACTCGATTTTATTATTTCAAAAGTAAGATCAAAGTCGAGGAAACTTTCTGACTTTTGCACCCAGAAAACCGTTACGTTGATTCAACGGAAAGAAAATAGTATAGAATTTTTCACTTGACTCAATGGAATTTCATTGATTGAAGGGAAATATTCCCATAGAGTAATGGAAAATTGCTTGAAGTTGTGGGAAAATTCTATCATATTTTCCATTGGTGTAATTTCTCTTAGTCCGTTTAATTTAATGGAACCATTTTCTGTGAATGGATGGAAATTTCACTTCACGTCAGTACCGCAAATCGTCTAAAATGTAAAGATAAAGATTCTTGACAAAACCATGACTACCACATCACCGCAGAGTTTGAATCAAGCGTTGCGGGCAACAACATTTTGAACTTTCCACCGGAAACGACTTGCGCTTGTGTCCTGTTGCCTTTCCTGTCCGGTGGCCGGTGACCGCGAGGTCGGGCTGTCACACAACACACAGTGCTTGACAGTGTACGCGCGACTGCTCGGCCGCGCACGTACGCAGGTGGTGCAGTCTGTCGCGTGCCGCCGCGCGGGGGATGCCGTTGGACCCCCTCCCCTCCCCCCTTCCCCACCCCCTGTTCCACCCTCCACTAATGCTCCAGCGGCACGGCAAGCACCGTCGCGGGGGGAGGCACGCTGCCGGCGGAGGTGAAGGGTTGCGTGTCCCGCGAGCTTGAGCTTGGGCGGCTGGGCTGGGCCAGGCGAGGGGGAGGATGAGGCGGGCGGTCTGCCCTGATACGCCCGTCCTGCACTGCGGGTGCACTCCTGCGGCGGCTCGTGCAGCGGCCGCGCGCTCCTGCACACACACACACACACACACACACACACACACACACGCACGCACGCACGCACGCACGCACGCACGTGCCGCCCTCTTTTGTGGTCACGATCACGATGCGCGCGGCGGGTCGGGGGTCGATAAAGTCGACTTTTATTTACAAAAACGCGCGGCGTGTGTGTGCGGTGGCGTGGTGCCGGCCGTGACCGTGCCGCCGGGGGGTTGGTGGCTTTTGTTGCGGAGCTATATCTCTCATGGCTCATGGCGACGCGCGCAGCAACTCCTTGTACGGCGCGGAGCTGAGCACTGCGGAGAACACCACGTGGAGCACGTGTCGTTTGCTCTCCTTGGAACTCGAGACGCCCCGCATCAGCGCGGTAGCAGCGGGGCGGCAGGATAAATTTGGCGATGATCAATGTGCTGCGGTTTCGCCGCGAGGAAACTCGAGCGCGGTGTGGCCGGCCGAGCCCGCGGCTGCTCCTGATCGCCTCGCGGACGAAATTCAATCTTGTCATTATTGTGGGCTGCTGCTGCTGCCGGCCGTGTTGGTCGGTCCGTCCTTCGGCCCTTCCGTCCGGCCGTCCGGCCGCTTCGGCGGCGGCATTACCATGCCGATTACCGACCGATAGAGCCGGCCGCCCGTCCCGTCCTGACCTAGATCAACGAGGCCCTCGTCTCGTCCTGCCGGGCCTGGCTGGGCCACGCTCCAATAGCCAGGCGGGGGGCGCCCGCCGCCGCGGCGAGCCCGGGGCTCCGGAGGAAATAGCCAATCGCCCTCCCCCGATGGGCCCGGCCCGGCCCGCGCACCGCGGCGGCGGCGCGGCCGGGCTGGGCGTCGCGGCCGGCCCCCTCTCTCCTCGCCCTCCACCACCTTCACCTCCCCCTCCGCCCGCACCGCACCCTCCGCGAGGCGCGCTGCGGACACGCCGCGAGCACTCCGCGCGCGCACCGCGGGTCTACCTCCTGTCCAGCCTGCCGACCTGGTCGCTCTGTCCAGGAATAGCGCCTCCAGCGCGGCCGCGGCGCCCCCGCCGGGCCCGCTCCGCTGGAGTATTGACTTTTGGCAG